GTCACTTCTTGTGTTGGGCTGGTTTGAATCCCAGATGCGTTCGGATAATGATATGGAGGGCGAGTACGGCTGTCACAATCTCATCCCTGACTGTCTGCGATTTGGGGTTTGAGGTTTCCTCTAAACAAAGCAATTATGCTGTAATAATTTGAGCTTTCAACTGTTCCAAGCGGCGTAAAACCCAATTTACTGACACATTCGAATTCTTTCATCATGCATCGTAAAAATATAAAACGCAACGCCATTAAATAACAAAACAAAAGTCATCGATATCCCACGAAACCGTAAATTCTTCTTCGTGTATAAATACGTGAAACTTGTTGCCATGGAGACTCGAAAACTATATTTTAAAAAAAATCCAAAAATGAAAACATATTTTTTTTAAAATCCCAAATATAAAAAAATATTTGTTTAAAAATCACAAAAATCAAAAGGCACCAGTTCACCACTATACCTATCTATGTGCCAAGTTTGGTGAAAAAAATATTGTACGGATTTGAAGATCTGCTCCAGAAACAAACACTACCGCCATTTTCAGTCTAGATCAAATTTGTTGCCATGGAAAACTCGAAAACTATGTTTAAAAAAATCCCAAACAAACAAAAAGCACCACTTCACCACTTACCCTACATGTATCTATGTTCCAAGTTTGGTAAAGACATATTGGACGGTATTGAAGATCTTCTCCGGAAACGACATCTTGCACGGACGGACGGACGGACGCACGGACAGACAAACAGTGTCGTTTTTAATACCCACCTGCAAAACGCATTGTGGAGGATAATCATAATTATATGCCGAAACAGATCCCATTGAACGTAAAAGGTAAAAAAAAAATGAATGGGTCAGTGAAAATAAATGGTGACAGGTGTATGGTAAGCATCTTCTGCCCTTCTGGATGCACCGACACACACACAAAACATTGGTTTATTTGTTGGTTGACCCCGGGCAGCAGTACTCTGGCCACACGACAGCGGCTTGAAAATTTAGTCTTGACCGTCCTGAAACAGTTGGAATAGTGTTTGCAGCGTATAACAACAAACACACACACAAACAAACAAACAAACAAATGGCATTGTAATTATTTCTCAGAAAATTTGGATCAGGCATGTCTTGGTCAAGCAAATGTTTGGCCCGAATTTCAAATTCGCACCTCATTACCGAAAGTCATTTTGGCTAAAGGGTGGTACACGTCCAAGCCGGAAGAACCACAGACGGAGCCAGGTTGATGAATGGATGTGGTTGGCCGAATTTGATGACTATCGCGTGTTGTAAACTATGTGTCTTTGTTAATTAGACACACGTCCGAATAATGACTATTCTCGTTGTTTTGTGCATGTTTCTATGGTGCCCATGTTGTCATTGTATCTTCCTACACGACAATCGCAACCATGCGCAGTGAGACTTTAAGCTCTCTTAAATCTGCGTCCGATGATCTTGGCTAGGTCCAACCTGTCACTGAAATGGCTTGTTGCAGGAAGGGACATTAAGCTAAACGAATCGATCTGCGTTTTCACCTGTGTCCAGGTTACCAATGGTGACAATTTGTATTTTTTATTCTCCATTTCTTCCTATAGTGACATTTCATCGTAAAAAAATATCATGAAACTGATATTAAACAAGGAATGGTCAATGTGCTAAAAACTTTTCTTGCAAAATTTCAATTTCATTAGAATTATTCATTTATGCATAAAGCTAACGTCAATTCCAATGAGATATTCCCACTCGAAACCCTTTCACTAAAAAAAATGAAACATTCTCAGGGACAAAAACATTAAATATCACTAGACACGATTCGCTTCCGTCTTAATATCATATTTCAAATGTACGTTTACTGAAAATTATAATTACTCAGAGAGAGCTTAGTTCAATGACACTATAATAGTTATGCATTACCGTCAATCACGTCTTTCTGTGGGAATGAAGCACGTTTTGAATAATTTCTTCTCGCCAAAGCAAAGACGTTCATGACTTTAATTCATATCCTTCCATCAAACACAGGAAAATAATTTTAAAGATCACAACAATGACACCGGGTGTTCGCGAAACAGACGTTATTCTTTGCTCTTCCAGAACCATCAGTGGATGTCTTGGTCACTGCAGATTTGGCCCTTGATACAACTGTCCAATACATACATATTTAGATTTTAAAACCAGACTGGGACAATAAGGAATGAGAGAATTTGGTTCAACGCGGTTTGAACATTGTTTCAATTATATAACGGCGTGTCAGCATGTGGGAAGGAAGCTCGAGTGATGCATATTTTAGTCGTTGATCACTTGGTGAAACGGACCCGTGAAGATTCCGGGGTAGCATAGGTCTTCAGCAACCCATGCTTGCCGTAAAAGGTGACTATGCTTGTCGTAAAAGGCGACTAACGGGATCGGGTGGTCAGGCTCGCTCACTTGGTTGATGCAGGTCATCGATCCCAATTGTGTGGATCGATGCTCATGATATTAATCACTGGATTGTCTGGCCCAGACTCGATTATTTACAGACCGCCGTCATATAGCTGGAATACTCTGTGTGCGGCGTTTAACAACCAACCAACCAACAACCAACTTGGTGAAACGCGCACGAGTATAATATTGACAATCCTAGAAACATGATCAGGGCCAATATAGTGTACGAACCTACCACTGTAGGACTCTTGCACGCCAAATGGACGCAACCCTACACATGAAGCAAACATTTGGCAGCAAACGAAACCCCGATTATGAGAAGACATACATGTTGTCATTGTTCTGGTAATGTTAGCACAAAACAATATATATGTTAATGACAGCAGAGAATATGAGAGTAGCCCGATAATCATTACCTGTGGGGATTCCAGGGTAGAGTCTGTCCCTTGTAACCAATATGTCTTATGAAACGACTAAAATAGCTCGGGTGGTGAGGTGACTGTGTTAATTGCGTGTCGTTGTTCCCGATGGCTAAGGTTATTGATCATGCATGGAGTCACGGATTTGCCTGGTCCACACCAAGCTGAGACCCGTGAAGATCCGGGTTAGAAAAGGTCTTCAGAACCCATTATTGCCGTAAAAGGCGACTATGCTTGTCGTAAAAAGCGACTAACGGGATCGGCTGGTCATGCTTGTTGACTTGGTTGAAGCATGTCCTCGTTTCCCGATTCCATGGATCGATGCTCATGATGTCAATCACTTGATTGTCTGGTTCAGACTCGATTATTTACAGACCGCCGTCTTATGGCTGAAACATTGCCGAGTGTGGCGTTAAAAACAAAGAAACAAACAAACAAAAGATTAAATATTATTGACTGTGGCATTACAATTCGCTTCCTCTTAAAATGACATTGTAGAATCATACATACTGTTTGTTGAGGAATGGAATGCTGCCATACCTCTGAAAAATCATCAACCGCGAACGGCCATCGTAATGCTATACAATCGGTGGGGTTTTCTTTGAAACCCTGTATCTAGAACAACTTAAACTTCAATTTCAATTCTGTGTCTGTTTTGAATACTTGTTTGATGGGTTATCACAGTGGTGGTATGTTGCTGATTTTTAGCTTGCCTTGAACGTTAGGATACTTTCTAGCACCTCAATAGGATATTGTCATGGTGTAAACATGCTCAAGTTAGATAATGGATCACAGACGATGATGATAATAGGTGTCTTTCCGACATCATCATATACACTTTTGAGGTACCGGTAGGTCAGACCATGCTTTCCCTTATTGACGTCCATCGGTACAAAGCACTCACTAATATACATGTTTCAGTACAAGGCACTCACTCATATGCATGCTTCAGTACAAGGCACTCACTCATATGCATGTTTCAGTACAAGGCACTCACTCATATACATGTTTCAGTACAAGGCACTCACTCATATACATGTTTCAGTACAAGGCACTCACTCATATACATGTTTCAGTACAAGGCACTCACTCATATACATGTTTCAGTACAAGGCACTCACTCATATACATGTTTCAGTACGAGGCACTCACTCATATACATGTTTCAATACAAAGCACACTCTCATATGCATGTTTCAGTACAAGGCACTCATTCATATGCATGTTTCAGTACAAGGCACTCACTCATATACATGTTTCAGTACAAGGCACTCACTCATATACATGTTTCAGTACAAGGCACTCACTCATATACATGTTTCAGTACAAGGCACTTACTCATATACATGTGTCAGTACAAGGCACTCACTCATATACATGTGTCAGTACAAGGCACTCACTCATATGCATGTTTCAGTACAAGGCACTCACTCATATACATGTTTCAGTACAAGGCACTCACTCATATACATGTTTCAGTACGAGGCACTCACTCATATACATGCTTCAGTACGAGGCACTCACTCATATACATGTTTCAATACAAAGCACACTCTCATATACATGCTTCAGTACAAAGCACTCACGCATATATATATGCTTCAATACAAAGCACACCAACTCATATACATGTTTCAGTACAAGGCACTCACTCATATACATGTTTCAGTACGAGGCACTCACTCATATACATGCTTCAGTACAAGGCACTCACTCATATATATGCTTCAGTACAAGGCACTCACTCATATGCATGTTTCAGTACAAGGCACTCACTCATATACATGTTTCAATACAAAGCACACTCTCATATACATGCTTCAGTACAAGGCACTCACTCCTATACATGCTTCGGTACAAACACACGCTCGTATTCCGGCATGGTTAAACGTGGTACGACATTAACTTCTGAGCAAGATGAGCAGCTACTCCTCAGTAAAAATCCCACCAAAGCAATCACAGCATAACAGTAGAGCCTGAAGGTATTGCATCATCGCCATCTGGCTGGCGAGGTAACTCCCCATTGGTTAACACCCACCATCGCCCAAGCCATTATGTTTCTATTTCACACAATAGTGTCCAATCCAAGCGACCTCATCGACCTGTCTCCAATCAACCAATCTGAATCAATGTTCTCTGAAACAACAGAAACCATTGATTCATTGAATCCCCGATACAACCCATGGGCGTGCCTGCGTCTATATTGGTCAAGCCCGGAACAGGACTCACCCTCTTATAACTAAGGTACTATATAACTAAGGTGGGCTAGCTTACTGCAAGGGGCTTCAGAATTACTAGTATTTCTCTATCGCAGTATTGATCTTCACACTGGGTACAAACTCGTCTGTATTGCTATATCACGCCTTTCTGGCTTCTGGAAATGTGATCCAAGCTGTTGAGTGTGAGATCGGAGGCGAATCCTAGCACTATTTGGGACCAGGCGTATATCGACAGTTGTGAAGTCTTTCCACGCCTTAACAATGGCCTCTACGAGAACTTTTTGTTGGTTTCTTCTGTGTTGCGTGACGTTGTGGACTTGTGTCGCGACAAGGAGTATAGCTGAAGATGACTACGTTTACACTGACTATAAGGTAACGTTTACAAAGTTTAACTTTTAATTTATATATCATCGTGAATTAAAAGTAATAGAGTTTTTGAATTATTGGCAGAGGATTTTAGAAATAAATTCTTTCATACGGATTGATACATGTCAAGATTTATACATGCTGGTCATACTCGACGTTAGTAATGCGAGATTTTGTCGTAAAAACTTAACTGGTAGACGCGCTTAGCTTCCTCTTTCGGAAAGAAAAATTGAATCGTCTTCAAGAGGGTTGATTTTAACAAGAACAATATTGTATTCAGTTTCGTAAGATTATTCATAAAATGAAAAACAATGTCAGATTATTAATATGTTATCTTTATTTAAAGAGGTGAAGTGTTTTTATGCGGGTTATTGAATGCTTTTGTAATTAAAGAATTAACATCATATAAAGATCTTCAAGTATGTATAAATACAAGTGAATGTGCAGATAGCTATTTCTATGGAGATACGTCTCTGTCAAACGAAACGTTTGACACCTCTGTATGAATATCGATAGCTAAAATAACCACTTAAACATAATCTAAAAAGCATTTATTGGTAACTATGTAGGTATTTGTAAACACATGAAAACATGAAAGATATGCACTTTCTTACGAGTGTTACTTTGTTGTGTCTAAGCACTTTAAAATACACGTATCTAATGTCGGATATGAATAATTTCCTGTTTTAGTCTGTGACCAAATGGTTTGGCGGGCGGAAGAAATATAGAAATTCGCGAGGTGATAAGTTTGTCTTAACTGAAATTCAATATGTGGTTGCAGTTGTGAAGCAACGATAATTCATTAAAATCCTTCTCTATGACAAAATATAATTCATTTAAACAGTCAGTTTTTCACTTTTGAATGTAACATGTGATTAATATTTCAATCATTTTGCAACATAACTTTAAGTATATTTTGTTCACATGTTGCAAAGCTGGACATTTCTCGACGCCAATAGCTGCAAGATTGCTGAAGCGGCGTTAAACAATACTCACTCACTCCGTGCATCGTTAAACAAGTAGTGTGAGTGTATTTCACGCCGGTTCATTTCAGCATTCCAGAAATATCAGGGCAAGGGACACAGAGAAACAGAGAATTGGCTTCACATATTGAACCTTTGTGGCCATTGAACCCGGGCCTTCAGTGTAACGAGCAAACATCGCGACAACGTATCACTGTTAGTGTTAACATATCTCACTGTGCACCGGACCCGTGAAGATCCAGGGTAGAATAGGCCTTCAGCAACCCATTCTTGTCGTACAAGGCGTCTATGCTTGTCGTAAGAGGCGACTAACGGAGTCGGGTGGTCAGGCTCGCTGACTTGGTTGATGCATGTCATCGTATCCCAGCTGCGTGGATTGACGCTCATGATGTCAATAACCGGATTGTCTGGTCCAGACTCGATTATTTACAGACCGTCGTCATATAGCTGGAATGTTGCTGAATGCGACGTTAAACAACAAACAAACAAACACTGTACACTGTATAATGAGCCGGTGGCCTCTTTACGGAATAAACTCTATCACAATTAGGCGACCCGATCTCCCCCGTGAAACTTAACCCAATCTTAAGAGCCCACTTAAAGAGGAATCGGGTTGTCATCAGTATCACAGCAGAGAACACCAACAGCGGGGCTTTGTATGTTGTGCTTATGATCATATAACGATTTATCCTCGGGCCTTCGTTGTGACGAGGGATCCCCACTCAACCACTCCCTCTGATGTATATAAAGGTCAGGTTCAACGTTCGTGATATAGCTTTTCTTCGCACCTTCGCATGAACCTTTGCGCGTGAATACTGTCACCATGATTGCACATTTTTCATAATTTTCCCCTCCAGTGGATCCATATATGTGAACCACTACTGCGGGAGTAAGTGAGTATGGTTTTACGCCGCTTTTAGCAATATTCCAGCAATAACACGGCGGGGGACACCAGAAATGGGCTTCACACATTGTACCCATGTCGGGAATCGAACCCGGGTCTTCAGCATGACGAGCGAACGCTTTAACTTCTAGGCTACCCGACCGCCCCCACTACTGCAGGAGATAAGGGATCATATTGGTGAAAATCACATTTTGACTTTTCATTCTATTTTAAAACAACAGGATATTCGGCACATAAAAATACAGTTCACAAGCTTCAATATATATTTATTACAGCGATTTTCCGACTTTTAACTATTTATGAAATAATTACAGTTTTTAGACATACTGTCTGAATTGAAAGAAGATATGTATGCTGAAAGGTTTTCAAATAATGTTTTTATTACATTACGAACAAACGAGAGAAGAATAAGATATTATTGTACAGTCCTCACACTGAAGTAAGTAGACGTCAAACGTCTTTATGACGTCAGAGCTCAATTGTATCCTAGCACCCACACGGTCCCCTTTCTCCTCGTGGGTCACATATAGTGAAACTCCCAACGTTGTCTTTCCAAAGGGGATTTTTAAAATTAAAGCGCAGATTATGATAGGGAAATCGTTACGCACAGAACTAATTTGTGAAATCAGAAAATGACCACGGAATATCAATGAATAATCAATTATTTACACACGCACACACGCACGCACGCACGCACGCATGCACGCACGCACGCACACACAGAGTTTCAGGTGAACAATCACAATACAGTGGGTCAAATTTGTGTCAGCGGCAATAAGTAGCAGACCCTAGAATAACTGTTCTTGCACTAAATATGAAACATCAAAGCCAGAGTATACCCAGTCTTGATTATCCTTTAAAAAGTAAGTCAAATTAGCGATGAAAATTATCTGAATGGATCACTGTCCTCCCGGTAGCTCCTGGGACCGCCTCCGTGGTCTAGTGGTAGAGCGTCCGCCCGGAGAGCGGAAGGTCCGGGGTTCGATCCCCGACCGCGTCATACCAATTAAGACGTTAAAAGATGGTACTTGTTGTTACCCTGTCTGGCGCTCGGCATTAAGGCCTGGTCGGCTCGGAGTCAGTATACTGTGTCTGAGTGGGGTATTCATGTTAAACTGCGGCATGGTATCTCAGTGAGCTAGCACTATAAATCGGCATCAGTCCGGACTAGTACAAGCAGCCACACACACACATACACGTACATGCACGTCGCTATATAAGTGCAATAATCTTGGACGCGACGTTAAACCCCATTTCACCTCACCTCACCTCACCTCACCTCACCTCACCCGGTAGCTCCTGGCTAACGAATGTTTAGAATTATATCATTATTGTATGTCGTGAAAGAGGCCTATCTGAAGGCCAAATAGATATCTAATCCGCACAAGTCAGGTCGAAAAAGGCCTTGTCTTGACTCTCGGCGCCCTTATATTGCTACGTTAAGCCTCGTAGAAACTGTCTCACCCAGACACATCTTGAACGATCAAGCCCGCCATGTTCATGTTCCTAACAAGGGCAGATAAATCTAATTCCAGCACACTACCACTCTCATTCGTGACCAACTCGTGTTATTCCGGGACAAGCCGAATAACGACTCGTGCCCCTCTCGTGGCCATTTTTGCGAACGGGTTCCGTCTTAGCGCAAACGGGCATACCTAAAACAATTGCGTATATTTTCCCATTTATTATATAATTTATACATCAGATGCAAATTAAAGCAAATCAGGATATGCGGAATTATACGGTATGATTGAACACATTTAACTGTGTCTTAGGTATATTTTTAGATGCAAGACATATGTAAAATCAAAAATTATATCTGAGGGATTCTTTGACGAAGAACTTGAAATCATACGCGCATTCTGATTGGTTTGTCGTATTTTCGCACCTAACATTCATCGACGGGGGGACGTGTCTTCTTGCAGGTTACGGAAAGAGGCGAGTGGTGCCGAATGTACCACTCTGGGAAACTTCATTCGCAAACTGATCAAAGAAACGCCCCTTCAATCGCGCCATGCGCGCGGAATTCGCGATCGCGTTCGCGTTCGCGGTTCGTTTGTTTGACCAGCAGTGCAAAATCAACAATTGTCAAACGATCGCGACAATGTCCGAGGTTTTAGTGAGTGAGTGAGTTTGGTTTGACGACGCTTTTAGTTATATTCAAGCAGTATCACGCCGGGGAACAACAGAAATGGGCTTCACACATTGTACCCATGTCGGGAATCGAACCCGGGTCTTCGGCGTGACGAGCGAACGCTTTAACCACTAGGCTACCCCTCCACCCCGCCGAGTTTTTAACAGTAGCGTGTTTGAAATGTTTAATTGACGCAATGTATGTTTTACTCTTATGCAATGTTCACATGACAGTGAAACGAATACGAATACGTCCGAATTAGATTTACATAATACTTTACCCATTCATATTCCCTGTCGATCTCTCAATACCGACGACCATTTTACAATATCCCCAAAATACAAAGAACCGTCAAACGCTGTCCCCTGTTACATATGTAAGACGGCCCCTTCGTCCATCAATGTTGTTCAACCAAGCCGTTAAGTCCATATTTCCCATCACAATGTTTCGCTAATCAGGAAATGACCAGCTTGAAGAAGTGTGTGAACTTTCAGATGATTGATCTCCCGAGGCCTTAGAACTATGTCCTCTTTATAAAATGTAGCTTCGGTGTTATCTAAGCCTTTCTTCTCCCGACATGTGGCTCTCCAGTCGGTGGATACTGCAGTCGTTTATACCATTGTGCCTCACTTCCTTATTTTCCTTCAATTGACCTGGATTCGAATACTTTGAAGCTGCAAACTAGAAAAATACGAAATGGTGAAGTATTAATTGACAAAAAACACACGATGACACTAGTTATTATGCCAGAGGAACGCTGTTGAAGGAATGTCCCGACAGTCTGGTACTAACTCATTACAGTGAGACGTGACGTATTTTGGAATTCGATTAAGAGTGACTCAGTGATACAGCGGCAGTATATTCAATGACCACATCGTCTGTACACTTGTTGGATCATAGAACTTTACGGCTAACATAAAGATTCATTTAGAAAATTATATGTCTTTTAATAGATTGTAATTGTTTTATCTTCTAAACTAGTCGG